TTTTTTTTCTGTACTGACTCTTTAATCCTTAAACTATTAATAAACTATTATCTTAAAAACAAAAAGATTGACCATGTGTTGGCAATTGCTTAAACTAGGCACAAGGGAGTCTGTAAGATATTCTATTTTGATAAATAATTGCAATTTCATTCGAGTAATAGAAACTATATAAGATAACAAGCTTCTCAGTTTACAAAGTGTTAAAAAAGCAAGGATGTTTGGTTCAATTAACTTACCCACATACAGCCACCGGAAAAATGCTTTGAAGTTTTTCATACTACTATCTATAACTCTAAAAAGAGAAAATAAGAGGAATGAGAAATAAAATGCGGTACGAGGTTCATCTGTCCCTGTTCAAATGTCATGGACATAACCCTCATCATTCTATCATCTCCTAACAGGGTGACACTGAAGCCTTTAGAACAGATTTTACAAATCAAAAGTGTTATCTAAAAATGAGTTTTAAAAGAGCAAATCTTGGTTCTTTTAAAAAAATAAAGCAAATAATTGGTTATAACAGCCTTGCCACAAACTGTTAAGAGTCGTTTCCAGCATTCAGTAAAGTGTGAAATCCTTTTCTAACTTTGCAAAGGAAAGAAATCAGGGGGGAAAAAAATCTTTTTCAGCATTATTCTCAGATTTAAAAAAAGCTCACTGGTTGGTAAGGAAAAAACTGACTTAGCTCAACAGAAAATCGGTATTATAAATGCATACTGGAGCATTATCTTTGAACTGTGGTGCTGGCAAAGGGCCTTGAATACACCACGGACGGCCAAAGACCAAACAAATCTGTCTCAGAGGAAGTACAGTGCAGCCAGGGTGCTGCTTGGAGGCGAGGACAGTGACACTTCATGTCACGTACTTTAAGCATGCTGTTAGGAGGACCAGTCCTGAGTCAACAAAACCTTACTTGGAATGGTAGAGGAGACCATTAGCTAGATGACTGATAACAGTGACTGCAGCAAACCAGAGATTATGGATGGGGCAGGTCACGGTCTATTGGGTATGTGGTTGTGCTGGTTCACAGCTGGCCAGACGGCACCTACCAGGATATGTAACAATCACTAATGACCATTACTTTTGGAGACTGACGTTTGTTTCTTAGAATCGGTAACAATAAGGTCCCCAAAACGGAATCTCCCTGGGCCTATACAAATGTATCTAAAAACTGTGAGTCAAAATACAAGTGGTCTTCATTTTGATGATGCAATTTCTGAATACAGAGATGGGGAGAATTTTTAAGCTTTTAAGTTCACATATGTAACATAATTCCTCTAAGCAAACACTTGTACTTTTCAGTCTGGAACTACAAAGCCCTTTTTAAGCGTTAAGTTTCATTATACTGCTGAAGAGGTAGGTCAATATCATTAACCTTTTAGTACTGAGTGAAAAACTTGAGATAAAAGCCTGTAGCCTCTTATGTTATCAAGCAAAATGATAAAAATCCTCTTGCAGCAAAAATGAAGAAGGTGGAAGGCATTATCTATCTTTCTGAGTCCACAGAATACTAATTTGCTATCTTGTACACTCTACTTTGGATCACAACAAATTGTGGTGAACATTACTAAGAAGAATGGGAATCCCAGAACACCTGATTGTGTGCATATGAAACCTATGCTTAGACTAAGAAGCTGTTGTCTGAACAGAACCAGGGAACACTGCATGGTTAAAAATCAAGAAAGAAGTATGTCAAGAGATGCATCCTTTTTCCATAGCTTTTCATTCCTTATACTGAACAGATCATTTGGGAGGCTGGAATTTTATGAAGAAGAATGTTGCATCAGGATTAGAGGAAGACTCATCAACAACCTGTGTCATAGAGATGATACAATCTTACTCTCAGAAACAGAGAAGGGACTAGAAGTGTTTGCTGCAGAAGGTCCGGAATTGCAGCCTTGAATATGGATTGCATCTCAACATCAAGAAAACAAAAATCCTCATTATTGAGCCAACTGACATTACACATGAAGAAAATACTGAAGATGAAATGAAACAATTTCATGTTGCTTGTTTTCCTCGGCACCAGCAGTCAGAAAATCAAAAGACAAGTTGCTATGGGAAAATCTGCTGTCAGGAACCTCTCCAGAGAGGCAAAGAGCACCAATGTCAGTCCAGAGACTGAAGTGTGTCTAATCCAGGTCATGATCTTCTCAACAGCTTGTTCTGATCTGACAGCTGGACAATGACTAAGGATGAGAGAGTTATGGTGTTGGAGGCGTATTGAACATACCATGGACAGAACCATACGAGAGAACAAACAGGTCTGCCCTGGAGAGGGTGAAACAGGTTGTTCCTGGAGGCAAGGATTTTGAAGCTCCATTTCACATACTCTGGGCATGCTGACAGGAGAGACCAGTCCTTGGAAGGGTAGAGGGTCAGCGCAGGAGAGGAAGACCCTGGGCGAGATGGACTGACACAGTGACCGTGGCAATGGGGTCAGGTGTGTCAGAGATGCTGAGGCTGGCTCAAGATAGAGCACGGTTCAGAGCCATTGCTAACAGGTTCATGAGCAGTCATGGTCAACTTGACAGCACAGAACATCACCACTCATATTTTCTCACTCTACCAATTTATCTCTCACACACATTTTTTAAGAAACAAGCTTGCCCAGAAAGTGGAAGAACACACACCTCAGAACAAGGCGCTAGAGACCAAAAGGGAAGCATCTGCCTACCACTAAGGTTCAGAAGGCGGGGAGGGACGGGGGAGGACAGGGGACGAAACAAGGACACAAAGAAGAAGTGGAGAGGCCTGTGACATCGAGGAGCTGCAGCCAATGTCAGGAAACAAAACGGCATCAGCTGCTGGGCGGGAAACTCATTCACTCTCTAAACTTTCACTCAAGCCACAAATATAAGATGCAAAAGAAATCAGTCCTAACAGATTACACGGTCCCAGAAGTTCCTTCTGCCCTTCTAGTCCAGGTCTCCACCCTGACTCCCAGAAACCACTGACTAACATCAAAATGCTCGCTGCCTCAGTTTCTCCACCTGTATGCTGTAATAACTAGTTCTACCGACTTCAGAAGTTCAAGGAAGGAAACCACCCTGACTCACATTCACGCGCTCTCAGCTAACATGCACTCATGGCGGTCAAGCCGCTCTGGCTCTGGCGGAGCACCGGCATCAGGCAGCAGAGGCTGTAACCATTACACAAAGACACTGCCTGTATTTATTTCTCCCACAGAACAGCAGTGGATTCGAACTGCTGACCTTACATTAGCAGTCCAACTTGCTAGGTATTACTTCCAAGACACTGAAGCCAATGGTAGCTGCCAGGCCTCTAACATCAACTCGGACAGGAGACAGCAGGACACGATGACATCGAAATGCAGGGTGGTCAATATGCTCTTTTTCTGAAACCATGAAGAACTCCAAGATTCCATTCCGGCCCAAAACAAAACGAACAGACGGTCTTCTTCTGGAAGTGGGAAAACACTCAACAAAGGAGAACTGGCAGCATCAGACCTTCTATCGGCACCCAAAGAGCAGGACGCAGAAAAGGACGCTTCCCTCTCTATTACTGTAAAACCAGAAGGATGACTAGCTGGATGTGTGCAAGGTCCAAAGGGGGAAGAGGAGGGGAAGGGGGCAGGGCAATCACAGAGTCAGAGAGATGGGGGAGGGAGGAGTTGAAGGAATTAGGAAAGATCTGGTGGGGACTTGAAAAGATGGGTTAATAGGGGACATAGGTCAACAGTGATTAATTTTATAAAACACACTGTATGGAAATGATCCTATGAAACACAATGTGAATGAATGAACGTGTGAAACACAATATATATGAATGAAACACAATATATATGAATGAAACATATATGAGGCAAACAAAGATAATAACAAATTTTAAACAAGAAAAAAAGGATAAATACTGCTTCAGATCATTATTGTAAAAACGGAAAGCAAAGTATGGACAAAAGTCCAAAGTGGGAATGGGAGGGGCAGGGGGCCGAGAGTGGGGAGGTGCAGAAATCATGGGGTCACAGAATTTGGGGGGTAGAGGGAGGGGGTAAAGGAATTAGGAAAAATCCAGTGTGGACCTGAAAGGGTGGGATAATGGACAAATCAATGATGATTCATTTTATAAAACATAGCTTACGGGAATGATTGTAGGAAATACGGAAATGACTCTAGGAAATACAATGTGAATGAAGCAATGTTTGAAACATAATGAATAGGAATGAAACACAATGTATATGACTTTTAAATGCAAACTAATATAAAATAAAAATTTTAAAAATAAATATAAAATAAAAATAATTTCTTTTAAAAATTTCTCTTTAAAAAATTTTATTATTTTGTATGGGTGTACAAATCACATCTGACTGGTACAGAAAGAGACTGCCCCTCCTTCTCCAGCAGAGCATCTGGTGAAAAAATAAATTTCGAAGAAAATCTCTTTGAGAATGACTTCTCCCTTATAGAGTCCAACCTCTGGCAGAAACTGTCAGTCAAGCAAGAGGCAGAGAAAAGGCAGCAAACAAGACAAACCGGGCCTCTCCGATCTGTTTTCTGAGTAAGTCACTGGTGAGTGTTTTCCCACCAAGTGATGAACAGAACCCAAGAAGAGAGGCGATGCTTTAGGCTCTGGGTCTAACCCAGGGCAGCAGTGAAGACTGCTGACTGCTGGCATGGACCATGCAGGGCGAGCACGCCTGGCCAGCTGCTGTCAGAAGGCATTGGACCCACGGTGATAATGCAGTATTGCCCCGTACAGGACGTCCCCATACAGGACGGCCCCGTAAAGCATCCTAGGCTGCAATCTTCACGTGGACATACTGCCAAGGCTTTCCTTCTGCAGAGCCACTGGCGGGTATGGAACCAACAACCTGTCAGGCAGCAGCCAAATGCTGAAGCTCTGCACCTTCTCTTTAGAGGCAGGAGAAGGAAAGCTGAAGAAGCAGGGAGCTGGGCCTGAGGTGAGTTTCAGGGATCGGACACTACCCTTGAGGATGTGTTAAAGGCAGACAATGCAAAAATAAACAACAAATCAAACACAGCTGGTCAGAAGAAAGAATAGGAGGAGAACAAACAGAAGGAAGAGTAATTTTGAAAAACTGAACCACAAAAGAAATAGGTGGCATAATATATAGAAATACGGAGGCAGCCTATAGCAACCTGAGTTTGAATGAGTTGCAAGAGTTAAAATGTGCAGTGTGGTGGGTTGATAGTCACCGTCTTTGACATTTGTCACATGGCTGGCTAAGCAGGAACTCACCAATAAGGTGTGTGATCTAGTGACAAGGGGGCTGGCCAGCTGTAAATCGAGCAGGTTCAAGTGGCAAAAACTGGGAATCTCATAACCAGCAAAAAAGGAGCGGCAGAGAATGCAGCGTATGTCCACTGGAGCCTGAGACTTCTGGGTACCTCAGACTAGGATGGAGGTAAGAGCAGAGCAGCTGCAGGACAGAACCGAACCCGAGACTGACGTCAGACAGAGATAACCAGAGACTGACACGGGGCCAGGGCCAGGGTCTCCGCCTAAGCATGCTGGAAGATTGCGAGAAGACACTTTAACTGGTAAGAGTCTGGTCACACTGGTCTAAAGCTAAGAGACTGAAGCCATCAAGTGGCCGGCAAGCATGCTTGATAAGCTGACCTGACCAAGGAAGTATAGCCTGTTGTTCACCTGAACTACAACCTCCTGTTAACTTTAATAGACCACATCACCAGAGCACGGTTCTGTGAACTCTGTGTGGCTGCTGCAACGAATTTTGAACCCAGCAATAGAGCAGTGAGAACCAGGGGAGGGACAAATGGTTAGGCTTGGGAGACGTGGGTGTGAGGTGTGTGGGGCCATGTCTCGCCTACGGGAAATAAGATTTTTATGTTGTGGGTGTTGTGGATGGGGAGTGTTCTCCTCTGTGGAGTTAGCAGAAGTCAGACATGGTTGCTCCGGGCCCTACTCTTTTTACCCATGTTTCCGTCCAGTGAGAGGACCCTGAGGACAGGCGACACAGGAGAAGACTGCTTCACTATGTAAGATCTCTAGGCTGTAGCAGAAGGCCCCTGATAGAGATGGCGGAAAAAAGCTGGAAAAAATTTAAAAATCCTACAGAGGACCAGTTTAATGGTCTAATAGAGACTACTGGAATCCCAGAGACGACAGCCCTTGGCCACCTTTCAAGCCTGAACTGAATTCAGCCCTGAGAAGAACCTTCCAGCCCAACAACCAGACAGGTCTACAAGACAGGTCACATCAGGAAAGAACACAGCCTTTAGGACAATTGTCCATTAGAGAGCCACAGGGCAGTGTTTATGCGGATCAAGTTCAGAAGGCAGGGATGAGGAAGGGAAAGAAAAGGAGAACAAATGAAACCAGGAACCATAGAAGGATGAGGAAGGGCGCTGTGACAGATGGGGGATTGAAATCTACATCTTGGAAAATAAAACAACGTGCACATGTTGCTGGAACAATCTGTTGGGATGGAACCAAACTCCTTGATAAAATTTTCATTCAAATCACAATTAAATTTTTAAATAAAGATCTCTGGGCTACTGGCTTATTTTAATAATGTGAAGTTTGATAAAAAATAAAAACGTACATATTTGAAAAAAAAGAATGAAAAGCTTGCTAGGTTCTTAAAACCCGAGTGATTGGATAGCCCCCTGCCCATGACTTTGGGCAGCCCTGATACTTACTGAAGAAGTTCATTCGCCTTGAGTATGAAAGAACCCAAAGCAGTAATAGCATCTAAAGAAAAAAAATAAGCATGCATCACCTGTGAGATAAGCAAACAGCTGAATGTATTCTACTGGAGATGAAATCACTACCTTCAATTCCTGCAGCGTCCAGTCCAAGAGGCCGGTACTTCTGCTTCCACAAAGCCATTCCTTTCAGTTCACTCAAATGGTACAATAACGACTCCGAGCCACTACCAAGACAGAGAAGAAGAACCTACGACCTTTACGATCATCCAGGTGGTGGGTGCCCGAAAAGCCTCTGAATATTCAGAAAAACTTAAAAGTAATTTATTTTTTTAGATGCCAAATAGTTCTCAAAACTCTTTCTAAAAACAGTATTTGAAACCATTTCTGGTACAGAAATATGAGTATCCGACCACAAGATTAAACTCTACAAAATTATCTCCGTGACAAACTCAGTCGTGGCATTTTCAGACAGTCATACGGTCACGTGATTCACCCAGAGCTGTGACCATCGTTTAGTATTTATTAAGCGCTTGCAGTGCTGGATTCTATGTGGAGTTCTGGTGGTGTAGTGGGCTTTGTGCCGAACTGCTAACCAAAAGGTCAAATCCACCAGCTGTTTCACCAGAGAAAGAGGCGACAGCCAGCTTCTGTTACGATTTATAGCCTTGGAACCCTGACAGTCAATGCCAAGACTGAAATCATCATCTTCAGAGCAGTGGGTGTGTGTGGATACTGGAGACATAACACAGAACAAAGTAACAGCCTCCTCCTTATTGCAATGATGCAGTCTATTGTTCCAAATACCTTGAACGCCAGGGAGCAAACCTACAGGGCAGGCCTAGCAGGAGAAGGGGTCGCTCTGGGAGAGTAGGGAAGGCTTTTCCAAGGAGGTGCTGTTTGAACTGAAAGCTGAAAAAAACCAATTGAAGAAAGGAAGGTGGGGGTGTTCCAGAAGAAAGAAGGGCATCTGAAGACCCCGGGACAGGAGGCAAAAATGCCAAATTTGGGAAAGTAAAAGGGTAAAAGGCTCCAAGTTTGAGTGAAGCTAAGCAAAATTTGCTAAAGGTCACGTAAGGATTGTGGTCTTGGTGCTAAAAGCAACGCGAAGGCACTTGGAGATTTAAGAGGAACATGATCGGGTCCACTGTGGAGAACACATGAGCTGAGCACAATGGGGGCAGGCAAGGCCAGCAGGAGTCTTCTCCAACATTCAAGAAACTGGGGAGGGCAGCGGATGCAGGACCCAGAACACAAGGACTGAGGGTCAGACACAGCATTCACATGCCAACTGCCTCCCTGGGATGGCTGAGGATATAAATAGTCTGAGACGTGACATTCTGGGACAGAGACTTCGCTCTAAAACCAAGCATTCTCAACTTCTCTTTCTTCTGGTGTAATACGAGAACAGTCACAATTCATCAAGGTACTGGATTAACATTATGTGAATCTGGTGGTTCAGCCTAGTGATAAGGAGAAGCGAAAGGCACCAGCTGCTCTGTGGAAAAACTGGGCAATCTCCTCTCATATGACTGACTGCCTCTAAAAACCCACTGGAGGGCCAGCTGTGAGGTGGTTCCAATTCAGTGGTATAAAACATAAGAGACAGACAGACAGAGAGAGAGAGTGTGTGTGTGTGTTTGGGGGGGGGGTCAGAGAGAATATTAATCCTGGTACCATAATGGTAAGAAGCTACACTGCAATCCCAAAGGCACACCAAGGACTGAATCCACCAGCTGCTCCATGGGAGAAGGATGGGTAATCTCCCTCATCAGATGTACTATCTCTGAAAACCCACTGGAGGGTCGGCTATGGGTTGGTTCCAACTCGAGGGCACACAACAACTCTGCGTGTGTGTGTGTGTCTATGTATTTATTTATTTTTACAGACACATATATATACATACACACATATATTATGTATCACATACATAAACCCAATGTCATTGAGTCAATTTCCAATTCAGAATGATTTCGTAGAACAAAGCAGAATTACTCATAAGAGTTTCAAGGCTGTAAATCTTTTCAGAAATTGTCCTTCCCCCTTGGAGAAGCTAATAGGTACATACGCAGACCCTTTTGTTTGGCAGCTAAATGCTTTTACTCACAGCGCCACAAGAGCGCTATAGATCACATGTGCTGTGAATTCTAAAATGATATACAAAGATACTCATTTTCACTGCTTCAAAATTAAAAGATCCACGCCCCATTTCAGTATATAACTCAAGGTTCCTATGGAGGAACAAAACACCCAGGCAGTGGAGAGACTGGTATCAAGACATAAGTAAACTACTCATAAACTAGAATGAACATTAATGATTCTATAATCTTGGGTCCTCCAGAATCTCCCAGAAATTCCAATGCAACTAATGTTCAAAAGGAAAATGCCAGATGATGAAGTCAATGTTAGGAAAAGAAAATCAACCTCACGATTCAAGAGGATTCTACGTTAAGTGTGGACGTGGCACCCCCAAGTTCTGCACCACCACCCTACCTCTGTAGATGACTTATCACCAACTTCTGTATACTGGAATAGGACGACTCAATAGACTGACCAAGCTTTTTCAAGCCCTAATTAAGAGAAGAAAATAGACTCAGTACACAACTTACAAGGAAATGATATGCTATCCTAAAAAAAAAAGTGTTCATAGACATTTAAACACACTGATAGTTTAACTGTACCTTTACAGTTAACTGGTTCATTAAGAGGGTCTGAAGTTCGGCACTACAACGAAAAAAAAAATCTTCCATCATTTCTCAATTCAAAATTTGAATGCATCATTTAAACTTTTACCTAAATACAATCTTTTAAATTAAGTAAATTTTTAAAAAAATAACCCAATGAAAATTAAGCCTTTATGGTATGCACATTAAAGAATAGACCAAAAAACAATGAAGTCCAGAAACAGATTCAAATATATATGCAAATGTACATCTGGAATGTGGAAATGGAAAAGAAAGCCAACAATTTTAAAAGCTCTAGAAGAAAATATACACCAATCTCTCAATGCTTTCAAGATGGGAAAGGATTTTCTAGGAGTAACAACAAAAGGAAGACTGATTTGGTTGCATAAATAATTTAATTTCATACACTTTTGTGCACATGCACACAGAGACATACACTTTCTCTCTCTCTCCTCACTGTTACACATAAAGTCATCCTGTGTAGGAACTGACTCAACTGGCAACTAATGCTATGGAGGTGTTGTGTAAACATATACACATTATCTGTATTAATGTATGAAAGGTTTAAATTACTGTGTATTTTTTAATTTATTATTTTTGTTTATGTTTACATAAAATTAACCGTATACAGGAAAATCTAGAAATACATTTATGTGGGGGCGGGGAGAGCTCAAGTAGTGTCCACAAAGAGCTGTACTACAAACCCGAAGGTGTTCAAATCCATCTATGGCTTCAGGGTAGATAGATGGGCGATCCCCTCCCACGTGACTTACAGGCCCACAAGCCTCTGGAGAGTAAGCTATGAGTCTGACTCCTTGGCAAAGGGGAGGTGCAAATGTGCAGGACGTATGCATTTACTAGTTGGGTGATAATATAGCGGGTATGTGAAGAGGCTGTAACAATCAGGGGAGACTGTGAGCCCGGTGCAGGACGGGACAGGGTTTCATTCTTAGGGTTGCTATGAGCTGGCGTGAACTCAACAGCAACTCACAACAAGGTACCAGGTAACTGGATTCTTTTCTGTTCTGTAGAGGATGAACATGAATTACTTTGAAATTCAAAACAACACTAGAAGACGACAATCCAGCAAGAGCACCTAATTCGAGCTTCCCACCTGGCTTTCCCCCAGAGCAGCAGGTGCATAAATTCGTCCTGCACTGACGTAGTTGTGTTCTTTTCCTAGATAAAATAAACAAAAGGGTGACTTACACATTTTAATAAATTACAGGACTATTTACTCAAAATTATAGGGACAATACTGTCCTAAGTCTTCTCAGTACTCCTCGAAGTCCATATTTAAAGAGACCAGCCAAGTAGCAATGACTCAAGAGACTGCGGTCAGCTATTCCTTCTCCAAGCCCTGCCCGCTCCACTCCACAATACTCTCCCCATCTGAGCTCTACCAATGGAAAGACTCTTGGGACGGTCTCTGAAGAGGGCTCTACTTTGCATGCTGCTTCTTAAAATTACGTCCATTTTTATTTTATTGTTATTGAGAACACACACAGCAAAACATATACCAAGTCAACAGTTTCTGTATGTACAACTCAGGTTTTTCTAGTTGTGTGAGGTTACACCGAGTCATTTGAAGATACCAAGAGCTGAGCCTTTTACAAATCGGATCTGCTTTCCTCCCGTGCCTCCAGAAGTAAACAGGGACCTTAGGCACCGTTCAGCTCTTCCCACAGACACGCAGCTCACGTTACCTGCACAAACGTGGTGAGACGCGAATCCATCTGCATCAGTATTTCTTCCCACGCCTCACACATGCATGTCAGCGACAAATTTATATACTATTAGCAAGAAGGGAACAGCGCTGTTAGTGAAAACACTGACATCAACAGGCTAGTTAAACTTTATGTGCTTCTTATTGCCAATTATCTCCAAGGAATCCAAAATTTACTTTCAATGGCTCTTAGTTAAGCCTGAGATAAAGAGAAGATCATGAGATAAAAAGACTAGACTCAGTATTTTAATAGCCTCTTAACAATACGAATTCCAGTTCTTAGAATTTTACGAGAAAATATTCCAAAACTAACTTTTTATCCAGTAATATGTCTTCAAGCTTTTATTTGTGAGATATTTTATGTACATTAATTGTTCAAATACTCACTCAGTAGGCATTTCAATTTTAAAGCAGAATCATTAAAATGTTATTTAGAAACCTTTAACATCAGGAGGTAAATTAGTGACTGCCGGATTGAAAAAAAAAAAAACACAACACCCCCCCCCAAAAAAAACCCCAAACACCAAACCCAAAATAAAGAGAGGGACACCAAAATTATTCTTCGCTCCTCCCACACAGCGATGGAGCCAACTTCTCCAGTTGAGTTTGGGCAGGGCTGCCTGTACTTTTCAACAGAAGCTAGACTGCAGAAGTGAACTACGAACCTGAGACCTTACAGACTGAGTGCTTCTACATGTACTGGAGACCTCTGCCACCCCGTCGTGAACACGTAAAGGCCTGCTACGGGAAGGGGCATTTAGAGGACAGAAAAAAACCATTACAGCTCTGCTGTTAGGTACTGTCGAGTTAACGGACTCACAGCGACCCATGAACAGATGAGAACCTCGCCCCATCCCATCCCATCCTCACAATCTTCACCAAGCTCAAGCCCACTGCGGCAGTCACTGTATTAATCCACTTCATTTCATTGAGGATCTTCTTCTCTGTTGCCAACTCTTCACTTTGCCCAGCCTGACTCACATCTCCTGACAGCATGCCCTACGTACAGAAGTTTCGCCATCCCTGTCTCTATAAAGAGCACCCTGGTCCCTCCACAACAAATCTGTTGGCCCTTTGGGAGTCCAGGGGATATTCAGTACTCTTCTCCAACACCACAAATCAAAGGTACCACTCAAAACAATTGGCAGACCTCAGATGCTGACCAAGTTGGCCAAGGCCCAGTCGCCCACCTACAGAATCCAAGAAAACGAGGGCAGTTCAAGAAGACAAAGTATTATAACGGAATGTGCAGAGAGCTGGAACTGGAGAATAAAAAGGGGAGAATTCGCTCAGGATTTCTCAAGCTGAAAGAGCTGAAGAACAAAGGCTTGAGAGATGCTATGGGCAAAATTTTGATGACCCAGGAAGCCTCAACAGAAGATGAACAGAATATTGGAGCTCTGGTGGCCTAGTGGCAAGAAGCTACACTGCAATCCCAGAGGCATGCGGTTCAAATCGGCCAGATGCTCTGCTGGAGGAGGGACAATCTCCTCCTGTACCAGTCAGATCCAATTTGACGGTACACACATACAAAATAATAAGATAAAATAAAAAATAAAAAAAAGAAAATGAACAGAATATAGAGTCATTGTACACAAAAAAATGGGCCAATATTGAAATGTTTCTGGAAATACCATACGAGCAAAAGCTAATGGTAATGAAGGAAGAAAACTCAAGCTGCACTGAAGGTGTTGGCAAAAAAGTGTCAGGAATTGATGGAATTCCAACTGACATGCTTCAACGAGCAAATGTAGCCCTGGATGGGCTCACCAGTTTATGCCAAGAAATTTGGAGGGCAGCTTCCTTGCTGATGATTAACTGGACAAAATTCTGTTTGTTCCCATTCCCAAGAGAGGTGACCCAACAGAATGTAGACATTATCACACATTAATGTGTGATATCTTTAATACCACATGCAAGCAAAATACTGCTGAAGGTCATCAAAAAAATGGCTAAAACAGTACATTCACAAAGAACTGCCAGAAAGTAAGCTTAGCTTAGAAGAGGCCAAGGCCCCAGGACTATCACTGCTGACGTCAGATGGATTCTGACTGAAAGAGAACACCAGAAGAATGTCTTCTTGTGTTTTACTGACTATTCAAAGGCATTTAATACATAGCTCATAACAAATTACGACTAACACAGAGAAGGGGAATCCCAGAACATTTACTGTGCACCTAGAGAATGTTGTTGTAAACAAACCAAGAGATTACACAGTTTACAATTAAGAAAGCTGTGCATCAGGATTGTATCCTTTCTCCACACCTATTATTTTGATGAGCGTTTTAGAAGTAGAATTTGTTCCACGTACATGCTTCCTCTTCCTTTTACCTAATGGTCTGAGGCGGCGAGGAGTTACATAAAGTATAATAAATGTTTTTCCAATACTATCTTCCCTTGGGTTTCACAAAATTGGGTAAGAAATAGATGTATTCTACTTTGCACTAGAATACTTTCTCATTGCTCCTCGACTACTTTTTGACTCGGTTTCTTTTTCAGTTTAATAAGAGAACGTCCGCTGAGGACTGGGAGGGTCATCTCCATATAGGCAGGTCTTCTTGCACAGAAGTGAACGAGTTTACTGTCAAAAAAATGGAGAGAATATGGAAAACGAGTGGAAACACAAAGTGCCTTGGCAGCCCTGCTGCGCGTCCGCTCGATCCCCTCACCCCAGGAAGCTGACTTTTCCAGTCATTTCATACTGTAGATCCTGAAGCAGGTTTCATGGCTTTCCTGCCATCGCTTGCGGCATGGCTTCTCATAGTACCACCTCGGCTCCTGGTGTGCATCTTGCACGTTGCCATCCTGCACCATCACAGTTCTGGCAATGAACTTCAGATGTTTTATCATGATCTTGAATTTAGAAGTCTTCACTCTGTTGAACCTAAAAGCCAAGTGCATCTTCCTTTCTCAGTCCCAGAACAACCACTTCACTCTCCACACTTATTCAATCTGTATGCTGAGCAAATCATTCAAGAAGCTGCACTCTATTAAGAAGAATCTGGCATCAGGATTGGAAGAATTTTATTAGCTACCTGCGTTGTGCAGATGACACAACCTTGCTTGCTAAAAGTGAGGTGGATTTGCTGCAGGAGATCAAGGACTTCAGTCCTCAATATGGACTGTAGCTCAAGGTCAAGAAAACAAAGATTCTTACCACTGGACCAATAGACAACATCAATGACAAATGAAGAAAGGACTGAAACCATCAATGAATGACTTTATCTTACTTGGATCCACAATCAACACCCTTGGTACCAGCAGTCAGGAGATCTAAGTCTGCAATCAGGGATCTCTCAATAATACCAGTTTGAAGACTAATGTGTGCCTGATTCCCTCTTTTCAATCACTTGCTATGCCTCTGAGAGCAGGACAATGAATAAGGATGACAGAATAGATGACTTTCAGCTTTGGTGTTGGAGCTTAATGATATCCCAAGGACTGTCTAAAGAACAGACAGGTATGTCTTGGAGAAAGTGCAGCCAGAGTGCTCCTTGGAGGCAAAGATGACAAAGCTCCGCTTCACATACTTTGGGCATGCTGCTTGGAAAGACTATTTCTTGGAGAGGGACATCATGTCTGGAAAGGCAGAGGGTAGGCCAAAGGGAAGACCCTTAAACAGATGGCCTGACACAGTGACTGCAGAAACAGGCTCAACTATGTAAAAAATGCTGAGGTTGGTCCAGGATAGGTCAGAGTTCAGATCTGCTGTTCAGAAAGTCACACACTTAACTCGACAGCATCTAACAACAATACCCCACATGAGGTACTTAATTAGTTAATTCATACCCCACAGTACTTAATTTACAAGAAACCTTATAAAAGTCCAAATTGAGATTGCTTTTAGGGGAAGATTTTAAAAGATTTAGGCTAATTGTTTTTTCTTAGCGCTCTGAGATAGTAAATCAGGTTAGGTGCGAAAAGAGTCACAATTCAATTTTCTTTTCTTTCTATGATGGAGATTACAAGAATGGCAGTTAGATTAGAAAACTAATGGAGGCTCAGATTTTAAAGCTCACTCTCACATATCTTGGGTATGTGGCCAGGAGGGACCAGTCCTTGGAGAAGAACATCATGCTTGGAAGGGTGGAGGGACAGAGCAGGAGAGGAAGAACCCAGATGAGATGGATTGATACAGTGACTGGGGTAATGTGAGTAGGTGTGTTGGAGTCAGTGAGACTGGCTCAAGACAGGGCAGGCTTCAGGGTTGTTTTACATAGGGTCATTATGAGTTGCAGGCAATTCAATTGCATGTAACAATCACCACCAGCAGCAGCAGCATAAGTAGCTAGACTATGAGTAAGGATGACAGAAGAATTGATGCCTTTGAGCTGTGGTGTTGGAGAAGAGTGCTGAATATCCCATGGACAGCCAAAAGAACAAACAGATACACCCTGGAGAAGGTGCAGCCAGAGTGCTCCTTGGAGACAAGGATGCTTTATTTCATACACTGTAGGGCCTGTTGCTAGGAGAGGCTACTCTCTGGAGAGGGACATCATGCTCAGAAAGGTGGAGGGATTGCAAAAGAGAGGAAGACCCTCCACCGGGTGGATTAACACAGTAACTGCAGCAATGGGCTCCAGTGAATTAGAGGTTGTGCGGCTGGTGAAGGCCAGGACAGGGTCCAGATCCGTTGTCCACAGGGTCGCTCTGAGTCTCACTGGACTCACGACTCCCAACAACGACCACCAGTACAGGTAGGAGAAGAGGAGCCTAATGTCTTGACAGCATGTAACAACAGCAACCAAAAGTAGTTACCTTTACCTTTACCTTTTTAGTTTTATTTCAAGAACTTTAGAAATTGACAGCACATATTCCCACAAAACAAGTGCTACATAGACACATACCTGCAAAAGAGCGGAAATGTGAGTAAACTTTCTCGCCATCCGAGTTACTTCCGGTAAGAACGAGTACAGGAGATTGGTTTCGAGCTGTGAAGTCGAAAAATAAAAGCACTATCACAATCAGACACAGTCACTTCTTTAAAGAGAAGTCAGTCTCTCTTGAACCCAAAACAAACTACCTCATATTTGAGAGCGGAGTCTAAGCCTGCATCAGAGAAGACAGCAGAATCTTCCGGTCTGACCGGAGCTGAGTTCAGAGACTAACAGAAGCCTGTTTTGGTGGCTGTTCCCTTGTGACTTCAGGCAGGCTCTGTTCGAGAGAGCAAAGCCCTGACAGATAATGCAGCATCATCACAGTCTTCGCTGTGCTTCGTATCATTTTTAGGGCTTTCTAATGCCCTGCCCACCTGTGCCCAGTCCACCCACGCTGGGTCACCAACCCCTCAATCAGTCTAGAATAAGTATAATCCAATCATTTGTAGCACTAGCATGAGAAACTTCAAACAAAATTACACACATATGTGAAAACTCTTGAAGAAAGGAAAAAGTTACTGATATATGTTACGGAAATCTGCTACAGTTATATGTAAATTGCATTTCACAAAACTGTATTAATATTTATTATCAACTCCTGGGGAGACCAGTCCTTGGAGAGGGATACCATGCTTGGGAGGGTGGAGGGACAGTGCAAGAGAGGAAGACCCTGGATGAGATGGAGTGACTCGGTGACTGGGGAAATGGGGTAGGTGTGTCGGAAACGATGAGACTGGCTCAAGACAGAGCAGGGGTCAGAGCTGTTGAACATACGGTCGCTATGAGTCACAGGCGACTCAATGGCACATAACAATATTATAAACTCCATGGAAATTTGTATAAACCAACCATTTGCTACAGCACCACAGACAAGCCATGGACTCCTACTCTCAGAGTCTTCAGATAGAAAGGGAGCATCAACAATGAATCACGAAGTCACGAGTTCTCTAGCACTTTCAATTCAAAACTATTTCGCCATCCTGCACTTTCTGTTCTTGCTCTACCTTTCAGAGTCCAGAGACACCGTGGGTAAATAGCTGAGACATTTGAAAATTCAAATTTTAGGACGAATGCTTGAAGGCTAAGGCCACTGAGGATCCAAGCATGAGGGACTTGTTGACAGTTTCAATCTTTTATCACTCTATCATGATGTTGTCTCTCCAAAGCACTAGGTGCAATGCTGTTAGTCTGAGGACTAGGGTGAGTTGCAGCCCATGGTCTATTCAATCACGGGGCTACGCTGCTGAGAGCTGTTATTCACAGGGTCACAAGCGTCATACTCACCTCGATGGCATCTAACAACAACAGCAGAGCTACTGCAATTTAAAGACTACACCCCAGTAAAACCATTTCCTTACCCTACAATACAAACAGCTCACAATGAAAAAGGTTTTTCGTACTGTTAAGTGACCCATTTTACTTAAGAAGTTGTGCTGCCAACACAAAGGTACAAGTCCACCAGCTACTCAGTGAGATAAAGACAGGAACTCTTCTCCAGCCCACTTTACTGCTTCCGTAAGCCCGCTGGCGGGTCAGCTATGAGTCACCTCTGACTTGATGGTATACAACAACAACAATCTTATAGAAGAGGCAAGGTGCTAGTTACTAGCAGACGGTCCAATACCAATTTCCAAGTAAACACCATCAAGGAAGTTTTACGTTGGCTCATTTACTTCTCTACAAAATGGGTTAACACATTCTCTCTGCCAGTAAGTGGGAACTACCTCCCAGCTGACCCTCCACTGAGCTGCCAAGGCTATAAGCTGAACAGAAGATGCTCATATTTCTCCTGCACAGAGGCTGGGGGATTTGAAGGGCCGGGGGCAAGGCCTCTTCGTCAGCAGTGCAACTTCACACAGCCCACCGCCACCATCAGACTCCCTGGGACATCAATAGTCTCTACATATTAGACTGCTATGTGGATTCAAAGAATTATGAATACAGAATCTGGAGTATAATAAAAAATAATTATTAGATAATATGATGATAAAGATGACCGGAGTCTTTAGAAAGCAAGTGGCATGAGGTTGAATTGGCAAGATATCCTGGTCATTCCCTAAACATTGCTTTTATGAAAACTATACTGGAACCTGGAAACAATAAAATGCTATTCACCACAGAGTGAGTCTGGAAGATCTGGAAAGTCTAAGAAGTATATTTATGGGCTTTCTGCTTTAATGACAATTAGAATCCAGTGATCAAGAAAATAAAAATTGAACAAAAATGTATTTACTTCCTACTGCTGTGCATCTGAGAGCTGGACAATGAATAAGGATGACAGAAAAAGAATTGACGTCTTTGAGCTGTGGTGTTGGAGAAGAGCACTGAACATCCCGTGGACAGCCAAGAGAATGAACAGATATGTCTTGGAGAGGGTGCAGCCTTAGTGCTCTTTGGAAATAAGAAAGACGAGACTTCGCCTCAATGTACTTTGAGCATGTTGCTTGGAGGGACTACTCCTTGGAGAGGGGACATGCTGCTGGGAAGGGTGAAGGGTTGGCAAAGGAGAGGGAGATCCTCAACCAGGTGTACTGACAAGGTGACTGCTGCAAGGGGCTCTTGTGTGTCAGGAAGTCTGAGGATGGTGCAGAATACAGCAGAGTTCAGAGATTTTGTTCATAGGGTTGCTTGGAGTAGTGTTGGACTTGACAGCACCTACAACAACTGCTATCAAGTATCATATCAGGACTCACCTGAAAGTATGAAACCTCTGAAGCACCATCTGCAGAAACCTCTGTGACCACCGATAAGGATTTCAAATCACTTGACAAACATAATGCCAGGCAAGTACCAACAATCTGCAAAACAGCAAAGCCCCCTTATTTAGTACCACGGCTCGGCTGCATCTGCTCATAGTAGAGGAAGAGATCACATAGTTTTACCAAGTACAAACATGCATTCCTGCCAAGAACATGAAGGAGATGAAGGTACCCATCTACCTGGGCGGCCCTGACCCATCACAAAGACAAAGACACACCACACAGTATGACATTCACAAGCCTGTGTTGGAGAACCAGTCTAAACCTCGCAGCATGATATTCACAAGCCTGCGTTAGAGAATCAGTCTACACTCCACTGTATGGTATTTTCTATCCCAGTTAGGTAATAGTAAAAGCAAAGATGAAAACACTGTGGAGAATTGTGAAATGAGCAACTGTGTTCTACCCAGGACTAAGCCTGTTTCTATTAACTTTCATCACCGTTCAATAACGATAGCTTTTATCAAAGTGAGGAAAATAATCATAATCAAGTATTATTTGAAACGAACCTTTTGTTTAAGAAAGACAAAAATAAAACCACACACTCATAACTAAAATCCACTCATAGCCATCAATCTTCATAGCTATCAGATCACCAGTATTTTGTCTTCATATATTAGTCCCTGACCATTAAAAACTAATCATCTTAATAGCTGAAACTAAAATTACAAAAATACTTATTCTTTTTCTATAAATCTATGAGCTTCTGCATTCTCAGAGAAACTATAAAAAAATGTTTTTAAGAAAAACTTACGCCAGTGACTCGAGCGATTTTGAACATTCCATAAGCATAAAGTTCAATAAATCCAGAGCTCCCGCCGAGGACAAGGATATTAAGCCTAATTAAAAGTAATTCAACAAGTTAAAGGGCCAGTCAACACTCAGGATGACTACAATCTTAAATCACGACACTTTCAGATACTGCTCGCATCCATCATACAAGCTAAACTTCTCCCCTGGGGAAACGAAGCAAGCCCCAGGTCTACAGATCCACCACGCACATGCATCACTCTGGGATTCCTCCTGCTGATCCGAAGGAAAAACACAAATTTCACCTCACTTAAAAAAATCCATCTACGGCAAAGTAAGAAAATATTACTTTATAAATAGCTACACTGGCACACCCTTACTAATACTTCCTCGAGTGAATACAACATCCAGTTCCATCACTACTTTTAGTGCTACATGAAGTAATGGACATAAAGTACTAGAGGGTTAAACTCCACTAAGATCCATCCTCCTCTACTTAAAGAGAGGTATATTACCATAGAGTTACTAAAATTTGCCAAGATGAAGAATTCTAGAATAAAAACGAAATTGCTTATAGATTGTTTTAAGCGGTAAATTTCAGCACTTAAATAAGAAAAGGATTTGCTCTTGAAATTGCTTCAAATATTAAAGATCAACTTTAAGAAATCTGACTTAATATTTAGGATGTAAGTGAAAGCTTTACCTGACATCTCCTAAGAGCTTAATAATTTCCTCAGAATTTTCTTCACTAAAATAGAAAAAAAAGGTAAGGTTATCTTTCAACTCGTAAGTTAGATAATAAAAGATGATCTTACTTGAAAAAGGAAAAGGCATGTCTTACCTAAATATTTTTGAGGTGTTGCTATAACTAAAGGAAAATATAGATTAGGGTGAGACACAGTCAGTAATAAATTATTGTTTAAAACAAATAAAATCAATATTAATTCCAAAGAAATTCTGATACTTACTTTTTTGGCAACGTAGGGAGTTTAGGTAATAGAAGATTTGATTCATCCTCAGCATTATAAAAGGAGGTTAAAACACTAAGGGAAAGAAATTTAACCATTAGGAAACAGCAGAGAAATATGATTTTTCTTCATATTAGAGAATGTTAAAGTTTAAAAAGATGCCTAGTAATATAAATTACCAAGTAGGCAGATGCCACAAATGTTTTGCCATTACAAAACAGTGATCATCACAAACAAGAAATTAGAAAGTATGACGTCCTCTATTTAAAAAGCAGTTATATATACATATGTGTATGTGTTTTATATATATAGAGAGAGATATATAACTAGGGCAATGGGGGTAGGTGTGTCAGAGTCAGCGAGATTGGCTCAAGACTGGGAAGGGTCAGGCTGTTGATGAGCCTTCCTCCAATTAACATGCCACACTCTTACATACTGAATGTTGTTATGTGCCATCGAGTCGCCTGTGACTCAAAGTGACCTCTATGCTCATTAGCTGTGAACCCTGCTCTATCCTGAGCCAATCTCATCTTCGACAGACCTAATCCCATTTTTCAGTTACTGAGTCAATTCATCTCATCCTGGGTCATCTTCTCCTGTGCTGTCCCTCCACCATTCTAAGCATGAGGACTCTCTCTCTCCAAGGACTGGTCCCTCCTGGCCATGTGCCCTAAGTATGTGAGATGGAGCTTGACAATCCTTGCCTCTAGTTTCACCCTCTCCAAGACAGACCTGTTTGTTCTCCTGGCAGTCCTTGGTACGTTCAACATTCTTCTCTAGCACCACAACTAAAAGGCATTAATTCTCTTTCTATCATCCTCAGTTACTGTCCTACTCTCGGATGCACAGCATGTAATTGTGAAGATCTGAATCAGACGCACCTTAGTCTCCACACTGATACTGCTACTCTTCAGTACTCTAGAGAGGGCCCTGACAGCACTTTCCCAATACAAGTAGTCTTCTGATTTCCTGACCGCTGGTGCCAAGTGTGTAACCAAGCAAGCTGAAGTTAGCAACAATCTCAATCTCTTCTCTGTTCATCATGAAACTGCCAATTGGCCTAGTGGTGAGAATTTTTGTTTTCTTGATACTGAGCTTCAGTCCATATTGAAGACTACAGTCCTTGACCTTTTGCAGCAAACATCTCATATCCTCTTCAGTTTCAGCAAGCAAGGCTTTGTGAATAGGTATGGAGAAAAGACACAGCTCTGCCGCATATCTTTCTTGAAATTATGTTAGGAATACATTTAGCAGGTAACTAGACTTGGACAGGAACTATATAACATATTCTGCTCCTGAAGGCTTCTATAAATTCATGCAACCATCTGCAACCCTTGATTATCGATGACAAATTCATCACTAGTTTTTATCCAAGCCAATTTTAAACCCTGGGCTAGATCCTTGGCATCTGCTTCTTTCCAGACATCTTTAAAGTCAGAAGGTGGGATCCAAGGTTTACAGACTCATTTGCTATTAAGGAATTTCATTAGAAAACAATAGCAATCAAAAGGGATTTATTACATCTTCCCTTAAGAAGCAAAAAGAATTTTTTAGTAATAGTGAAACCAAATGATTCTCTGGTGCTGCTCTTACATGCTGGCGAGTCAGAACAACTCCTGGCTGTCCTGTACTTGAGCTGTCTACTTTTGGGTTAGCAGTGCAACTCCTTACCCACTAGGCCACCATGCTGTTGTTATGTGCCATCGAGTAGCTGACACTCAAGCAGGGTTTAATTTGCACAGACCTGCCCATCTCTCTCACACAAAGCAGCTGACTGATTCGAACTGCTGACTTTTGGGCCAGCACACAACTCCTTATCTACTAGGCCACCAAAGCTCCCTAACTGACCCTTAAGGTAAATTTTTTTTTCTATTTTATTAATTTTAATGAATATTTACAGAGATTTTGGATTTCCTTTCATTCATTGTTGCACTGTTCTCCCTGCCCAGTCCCCCCACCCCCCATTTCGCTCCTCTCTTTGAAAAACAAAAGAAAAATTCCTTCTTTGGTATACAATCCCCCCGCAACCCTCCCACCGCCTAGAGTACACTCCACTATGCAACCTTAATTCTGGACTCTTGTGATAACCATAATACCCTATCATATATCGCTTTTAAATTATTCTCTCCCTCATCTGTTTCAATGCAGTATACATAATTTATCCAGTTTTTCTCATTGTTACCCCAACCCTGATGTCAGTCCCATTCTACAACAGTGGCACCATGCAGTGTTTGTCCTTTTGTGACTGAGATATTTCACTCAGCATCATGTACTCCAGGGCCATTAGGCAAATTTTATTGCAAACTTAGTGTACTGTTTGATCATGGAATTCAAGGCAAAATTATTTTTATGAAACAAAGAAACTATGAGGTGTTGTGAACACAGGAACACTCAGCACTCCAAGAACAGGGATAAGACACAAAACACAATGCTCCAGACAAAATGTATAATGAAAATGAAACAGAACCTCTACTTGCTGAGGAGCAGTTTCCACATCACTTGACAGCAGAAACGAGCTGACTGACATCAAATATTAAAAAGGAGAAATTTTTAAAAGAGGGGAAAAATATTTGGCCATTAGGGCATTACTGTGGCGGTGGCTGTTGTTATGTACCGTCTAGTTGACCACACCTCATAGAGACGCTTTGAACAACAACCCTGAACCTGTTCCATTCTAAGTCAGCGTCACTGTCCCAGTCACATCCCATCCAGGGCTTCCTCTCCTGCTCACTGACCCTCCACCCTTCCAAGCATGTCCTTCTCCAAGACCTGGTCCCTCCTGGCAACATGGCCAAGGTATGAGACGGAGCTTAAAAAATCCTTGCCTCCAAAGAGCAACTGGGTGTCACTCTCTCCAGGACAGACATGTTAGTTCTCTTGGTGGTCCATGGTATGTTCAATATTAAAAAAAACCACTTTTCTGGGAAAAAAGAAGAAGTCTAAAAAGGCATTAAAAAGTTTCCTCAAGAGAAAAGTAAAATCGTTATTTAAACACAAAGTGTATATATATATTCAACAACCAGATTTCCTATTACTCAACACCAACAAGCTACCATTTTTAAAACCTCAGTTTCGTAAAGAGCGTTCTGTGGGGCCCACAGGCTCGCCTTCCCTGTCACAGACCTGCTTTCTATGGTCACTTCCATCCAGTGCATACAGGAGACGGGGGCCTCCACGGAGAAGGAGTGCAGGCTTTCTGGCTTCTCCACGTCACACAGAACGATCTTCTTGGTGTCAGCAAGAGCAAAGGCCAAAACTGAAACAAGAGAAGAGATACAACCAAAGTAAGTTCTCTGAATATAGGAAAGAAATGAACAAGCAGTTCACTTATTGCCTAGCTTTACTACTTTGTATACAAATCAATCATAAAAATTATTTGAACTAAATATCTTTTAAGAAGTATTAAAAAAGTGGGAAAAAATAAATAGAACAATTAAAAAAAATAATCTTGGGACTGGAGAGCATTATGCTAAGTGAACTAACTCTGTCCCATAAGGACAAATACTGTATATGACCATTATCACAGAACATGTATGAGGATCGAAGGCAGGGAGGATGGGAGCAGAGGATGGGCGGGAGTGGGGTGGGGGCATAATCATAGGGTCACACAATTTGATTGGTGGAGTGCGGGGTGGGTAAAGGAAATGGAAAAGAGCCAGTGTGAAAAACAGTATATAAGTACTTGGTATGTAAAACAGTATAAAATAAAAATTTTATTAAAATATTTTCTAAAAAAGAAACATTAAAAAAAGAAAAACAAACTGACACCAGAGATCTATTTGCAGATAGTTAAGATTTCTAGGGCTCCAGCCCAGGAATCCCTCTGAGGCAGCCCCATCCTTCACAAGGTGGAACCCTAAGTTGCAAAGGCTGGCAACAATACAACTTTATCTAAAATTATCTTTGAGTGTCCTAACTTACATGAGTGATCTACCATCTTTCAAATACTGTACTTAGCATTATTAGTTGTCTTTAGACAGGAGTCTTATCAATCAGAAAATACAGAGCAGGGCTCAACAGTGCACAATCACGTCTCAGTACCGAGAATTCATAACCTACTAGCCAGCGTTGTCTAGCTGATTCTGACTCACAAAGACCCTACAGGCCTCAAAAGTTAAAAAAGCCCTCTACTATCAGCTTTGTCCATAAAGGTCTTCCCTTTCCCTGTTTTATATTTGTAATTTATAATGATGAACAGGATTCCTTTGACTACAGCCGAAAAGTCTATATAAGTCATTAAGGGTTTTCTAGCTTATGATAAATTTAAGAGGTCAGTGAACATCACACTATATATTGTGCAGGGCTCACCTGAGGGGACTATAAAGGAATCAGATTGACTGTTATCTGTGGAAAGTATTGTTGGAGAAGCTCAATATCAACAGTCAACACCAGGCCAGGTGCTGACAATGGAACAGACCAAGTCCAAACTGAAGCTAAATGACACAAGGTCCAAGGTCCTAAGAACCAAGTTATGATCTCGAATCTCTCCCACCTGAATTTAAAAAGCATCCAAAGAATAGGTTTGAGGCACTGAACACTGATAATCAAAGATCAAATGAGTAGTGGGAAGACATCAAAGATATTATCCACAAAGGAGGCAAAAGGTTCTCGCAAAGAGAAGGACAAAAGAAAAGGGCAAAGCTGATGCCAGAAGAGACCCTGAAAATGTAGAAGAGGCCAAAACAAAGGGCAGAAGTGCCCAAACAAAAAGTTGAACAGCATATTTTAAAGTAAAGTTTGAGAAGACAAAGCAAAACATAAAGAAACATGTGAAGAGCTGGAGTCTGAAAATCAAAAGGGAAGCGCGTGCTCCGCATTTTTTAAGCTGTAAGGAATGAAGAACACATTCAAGCCCCATGCTGCAATCCTGAGAGATGAAATAGGCAAAATCTTGAGTGATCCAGGAAACATCAAAAGATGAAAGGAATACAAGGAGTCACTGTATTTAAAAAACAAAACAAAACACAAAAACTGACACAGAACCATTTCAGGAAGTAGCATATGATCAAGAACCGACGGTAATAAAGGAAGAAGTTCAAGCCACACTGAAGAAATAGGCAACAAATACGACCCCATGAATCTACAGACATGTTTCAACGAACAGAGGCAGCCCTCAATATGCTCACCAGTCTGTGCCAAGTAATCTGGAAGAGAGCTACCTGGCCAGCTGAGTGGAAGAGATATATACTTGTTCCCATTCCCCAAAAAAGAGGATTCAACAGATTGCTGAAACGTTCAAACAGTATCATTAATATCACATACAAGCAAAATCTTGCTAAAGATTATTCAAAAACAGTTACAACAGTTCATCGAAGGAGAACTGCCATAAATTCAAGCTGGATTTAGGAGATGCTGGGGCACCAGGAATAACACTGCCAGGGTCAAATGGATCTCTGCAGAAAGCACAGAATACCAGATGGATGGATGGCTGTGTTTTAGTGACTATGCAAAGGCATTTGACTGTATGAATCACAACAAATTACAGCTAACAGTGAGAAGGGGAATAGTCCTTGAAGACTTAATGGTGCTCATGCAAAATGTACACTAAGAAGCTGTTGTTCGAACAAAGCAAGGGAAAACTGCATGCTTTACAATCAAGAAAGGTATACACCAGGGCTTTATCCTTTTCTCCATACCTTTTCAATATGTATGCTGAACAAATCACATGAGAAGCTGGATTTTATAAAGAATGTGGTAGTAGAGGAAGACTTCTCAACATCCTGCATTATGCAGATGACACAATCTTGCTTGCTCAAAGTGAAGAGGACTTGAAATGCTTGCTGCACAAGATCCAACACTATAGCCTTCAATGTAGATTACATCTCATGAAGAAAATGGAAGCACTCACCACTGGCTAACAGTCACCATCACTGCAGATGGAGACAAGACTCAACTCAAGCTGTAGGCAATTTCATCTTACTTAGATCCACAATGAACACCCTTGGAGAAATCAAAATACATACAGCAAAGGGGAAATCTGCCGGCAGGGACCTCTCCAAACTGCTAAAGAGCAAAGACGTTCAGTTTAAAGATTAAGGCGTACGTGATCCAATTCACTGTCTTTTTGATTACTTGGTATACATCTGAAAGTTGGACAATGACTAAGGATGACAGAAGAAGAATTGATGCCTCTGAGTTGTGGTGTTGGAGAAGAGCACTGAACATCCTATAAACTGCAGAAAGAGGAAACCACCACATTCTGGAGAAAGTGAGACCAGGGTGCTCCCTGGGAGCAAGGATGGTGAAGTTTCATCTCACATACTCTGGGCATGGTGTTAGAAGGGGCCAGTCCTTAGAGGTGGACATCATGCTTCAAAATGTTGACGGTCAGCACAGCAGAACCACCTCAGCAAGGACTGATCCAGTGACTGTAACAGTGGAGTCAAGTGTGTTGGAGGTGGTGAGGACGGCACAGGACAAGGCTGGGTTTAGACCTGCTGTTCGCAGGGTAGCTCTAAGTCAAACTGTAGTCAACTCAACTGCACGAAACAACTAATTCCAGGCAATCTGGGCTCCACGTGAGGCATTCTGATCTCCACTTCCTAAAACAATTTAGAATCATCTTGATGTAACTGTGGCTGACAACAGCCATGTGTTATTGTCCAAAAACACAAGACGCGTTTTGCAGCGATAAACACAGCTAATGAAGTAAGTTTCATCACAAAGTGATTTTCAGGATTTCACTTGAGATCGTTGGTGTTTAGGAATAAACAGCGTGAAGAGATCTCAAGATGTGCCACACCCGCCTCGCTGTCCTCTCTGGCCACGACGCCTGTGTGACAAAATGGGTCGTCCGTGCCTGTACGGGGTCTCTGACCTCAAGGATAGCATAAGAGGGAACCTTGCAAGCCCTGTGCTTGTGAGTGGGCTGATGCCTGGATATTTGTTACAGATGGGTCTTCGTAATCCTGGGAAACCTCTGGAAATTAAGTTGCTTCTAGGATAAGAATGGGAGTTTCTGGGGAATAATCAGGGGAACTTCACCAGAACTGGGATAAAGATTTAACTAAAGTCCTTAATCAGGAACCACTTGATGTTCCTGGAAATGATAACAAACAAGCTGAAAATATAAAAGAAATTGAGATTGTTCTTAAAAGTATAATTTTGAATATGATCTTTGAGTATGTATCTAATTCCTCTTTTGTGATACTTGCAACTCATATTTAGTAATGTAATTGTATATTAAGAGAAAGTTTAGACTAGTTTTAACAGCAGAAAGTCATAGTTAATGAGAATAAAACAGAGAGGTTTAAGAAAAGACTCAAAAGACAAACTTCTCTAAAAGTAAAGGTCTCTTTAAGAAATAGGAAACATTACCAGATAAATAACAGGTGGTGGGAAGAAAGTACTTATAAAGGACCATATGTCCTGCCAACTCCAACACCAGTACCTCTTCCTTATACAGACGTTTTGTATTCCAAGGAAAAAGAATTGAATATTACAAATTAACTTGGTAAAAACAAGTTAAAGGAAGTCGTCCACCTTAGTGCACATTGCCAAACAAAAAACAAATTAAAATCTTATGACAAGTTGCAAAAGCTATTGTTAAACATAGGAATGGTCCAGAGTGTAAGAAAATAGATGTTAAGATTCGTTAGGTACAGTACAAATATGAGTACAAAGGCAAAAACAAAGGTGGCTAAAATACAGTGACACAAAGTAGGAGAGGAAAGGAAGTGAAATGTAAACCATTAACCATTGTCTAGCAGATGACCAACATAAGGTCATTGTGTTTCTTGTTCAAAGAATGTTTAATAGCCGATGCTATTATTTAGTAATAGAAAATATTTTCTTTTTGTTAAAATCTTATGTGAGCTTTGTAATCGCAAAATGTTGGCTATAAGTCAAGTTTAAACAAGTTTAAATGTATAAAAAGCAAGTTTTTAGCATAATAAATCAGAGCTCTCTACATCATCCTGGTGTGCAGACTCTCATTTTCGCCGACTTCGTCCCTCACCTGCTCTTCACCAAGAAACCCCTTGAGTTTCTTGTCACGACCGTAGTCGGGTGGTCGGTGACAAAGATGTTACTTACAAAGCCTTCTAATTTTACACATGTGCTACACAAACTCTTTTAAAAGTATAATTAAAAGACAAAATAAGAACTGCGCAAAATGAACAGAATTTAAAAATGCTAGAAATCCGACTACTGGGAACCAAGCTAAGAGCTGAGCCCACCCAGCTCTTCCCACCGAGCACACAAACATTATATGGAGCTTTACCTACTTTACCAGTGATGAGAAAACGATGTGACCAA